CTCTACCTCTCCTCCTTCACATTTTAACCCCTTTCGCTTTTCTCAGTTCTGTCCGTGTCTGGAAATGAAGTGACAGACAGTTGATAGCTATATTGTGTTATACATAACACTTTACACACAGTGCACTGACGTTACACTAATACAAGCCACAAGTGATGAACCGTTTTTTTTTGTTTTTTGTTGTTTTTTTTAAAGCAATTATGCTAGTTTATTATCAACACAGGCCCCATAACCCATTAGGGTCATACGGACACATATACTGCAGACATAACAGCAGTGGTATTCCTAGACTAAGATAACCTGATAGAGCCCAGGTTGGTTTTGAGTTTTTCTTCTCTTAGACAGGTTGCCAATAGCAGAGCTGATTGGGTTCTCTTGCTATGAGTTTAAATAGTAGCCCTACTCCTAAGGGGGAGAAGGGATGAATTCATATATTTCCCAAGGGTATTTGTGAATAAGTGAACACAGCAATCTCAACCAGATTTCAAACTTGGCCAACCAAAATCTCTTGGTCGCTAACCATTACACAACTCACACATTTTTCAGGACGGTGGTGTAGTGAATAGAGGAGTTGATTAAACATGTATTACAGTCATCTATTGGCCATGATTTCAATTTCAAGATCAGGTAATGAAGTAGATACTGGTTCATCAGGAACAAAAGAACTGGCATCATAGAGACAAACAAACCATCTCAGGTGAATCAATAAAATCTGTGAAAATCTTTTACACACCAAGGAAGCAAGATAAATTCTACTGAAAAGGGATGTGAAAATTCACATAGCTAAAATAAATGTAATCTAGAAATCTGATCTACTACACAACCTCAAATGGAGATTCTTTCACACTATGGTAGAGTCGGTTTTAATATAAGGTGCCACTGCCTGGTCATTAACCAAAACCCTAGAACCTCGGCTTGAAGGAACCTACACTCAGATATTGAGAGCTATACTTAACATCTCTTGGAGACAACATTCAACTAAATCACAGCTCTATGGACCCATACCTGATATTGCTACAATCTTACATGAATGCAGAATGCACTATGCAGGACACTGCTGGTGAGCAAAACAAGAACTTGCAAGTGATCTACTGCTCTGGGCACCTAGCCATGGTACAAGACAGGTTGGTTACCCAGCAACCACCTACATTGACCAGCTAGATTATGACACAGAATTCCACCACCCTAATGACCTTCCGACCTTGATGCATGGCCATGAGAGTTGGTGTAATATACTCATGAATGTACAAGCTAACTTGACAGAATAAAACATAAATAATGCAGTGTTTAACAAGATATCCTTGCAAAATCATGACTTTAGGAAAGACTTATTATGTCTACAGGTATACTTTGGGTTATGTTGCTTTAAGTTAAATTATTCTCGATTATACGTCATTTGTCAAAAAGAAAATATACGGAAAAATAAAAATCAAGTCATTTTATTCAACTTCACATCTGTCTGCCACAAATACTGAAGTCATAATATCACTAGAAAAGCATTAAAAGCACATAAAATCATGTTACTGTACAATGCATTGGCTAAGATTATTGAAGAAAAAGGGTTTCTTCCTGAACAGATTTTTAACATTGACAAAACTGGATTATATTGGAAAAATTGCCAGGCTGTTCTTTCATTGCTAATGCTAAGCCTATATCGCTGATAAATTATTTTATTCAGAATACTATATCATAAATATCATAAATACTGTAATAGGAAATGAGGAGTGCTTATTTGTGGTTTACAGTGTGGTTATATTGACTTAGGTCATGACCTCTGGAACCAATTAACGACGTAGGGTGAGGTATACCTGTACTTGATTTTAGATGATGCCTACTTCTCAAAGTTTCATCATAATCTGACAGATCCAAGTCACAGAATTATGAAACAAAGTGACACACGTTTCTATTTAACTGTCAAATAAAAATGTAACTGTTTTTATATTGTAAACTTGAGAGCAATATACATGTTTTCTCATTTATATACAAGTCTTTGCAGAAAAATATTAATTATTAAAAAAAGAAAAAAAAAATAATTGACCTTAATTTTGTCCATGAAATAAGCCTGGTTATTTACAATATAAGCATAAGAATAGTGTTGACTATCAAAGAAAAAATACTTGTTTGAAATTTGGCATAATCTCAATTATTAATAGCAGAAACACACAAGTTAATTGGATGAACAATGAACCCGGCAAGAAAAATGTGAAGCAATGTAACTCAGGATAGAAAGCAAATTTAGTAATTGTATAGAGAGATATTTTACAATCACAAAAAAATATCAAGATGATATTTTTAATGAGGATAGTATCATTAGTAAAAAAGCATGCAATTGACCCGATTCAAATAAAACAAGAAAACTAAAATTAAAGGTACTTTACCAGATTATGAGTATTGCAATAAAAAAAAAAAAAAAAAAAACTGACAAAAATTATATATATATATATATATATATATATATATATATATATATATATATATATATATTGTGTTATAGCAGGTGGGAAAATTTTAAACATTTACATTCAACAATTTTCTATATTTTTAGAGAGATTTAAAAAAAAAAAAAAAAAAAAAAAGTCAAAATAACCCCATAACTTATCACAGAAAACACAATTTGTTACTTTGAAAGTAATGCCTCCATTTTTGATTAACTTGGATCACAATATCGGAGACAGATGTTGATGGTACAGCAATAGAAGTTGACCCTTCAAGACAATAACCCATCATTTTTTCCACCTTGTTACAGATAACAATTTGGTGAAAAGTGTGTCATGCAAAAAAAAAAAAAAAAAGTATACTGATTGACATTGATTAATATGATGTGAGCACAGTTAAGCAGAGAATCACGTATGGTTCTATAGAAAGGAACAAGGTTTTTTGGGGTTTTTTTTTCTCTCAATGGTTCCTTATTAAGTTTGGTCTTCTAAACAGCATCCACTTTAAACAAAGGGGAATGGAAAGAAAAGGGGTGAGTGAGGGATTTTCAGAAATCAAGTGGCAACAAAACCAGAAATACATCCAGGTACTGTCCTATATTAACAGTTATGATTGGAACTGGAGAGAATTCTGGTTCACACTTGACAAGAAATTGATGTGTATTGCCAGCCACCATGTCAGGATGGGTAGATGACTGAGGAGTTAGTAGGGGAGAGGTGGGAAGAGCTGACATAGCAGAAGTTGTCCCAACCTACCTGCCTAGAAGCAAGCAAAGCCCTGAATAAAACATCTCCACATAATATGAGAAACAGAGTTCGTGTCCTTACTTATCAATGTGGCATTTGTCTTTTATCATGTTACCTTGTGAGTATGCAGCACACCCCTTCCTTAGCTTTCAGTGCACTCTGACAAGACTGAGAATCAGAATGCATTGTGGGGTAATAATTGGTCAGTTGATGGAAAACTCAGGTGAGGGTTGTGCTGTATGTTTATAAATGCATTTTAGTTGTCGTGACAGTGATGTGTATGTGTGTGAAAAAGCAGTTCACCTCCCACTGGTGCAGATTGTTACTGGCATGGCATCACTAAAAAAAAAAAAAAAAATACGTAGCCAATGCTGGTGATTAGGTGGGAAAATAGCATTTGCTTGCTGAAAACTTGCTGCCTAGCAACAATTTCCATAGAAATAAATAGGAGGCATTATTTTCAGAGCATCCATTATAATGTGGGGGGGGAGGAATCGACTATAGGCAAATACAACATTTGTTTTATTTCATTACTTTTACTCTTCAAAAATTCCCACTTGGAAATCACCCAAAATTGTACTAGATTCACAAATAGGTCACACTGTTTTATAGTTGAACTAGTTAATGAAACCGTCAGTTCTATTCTAATAGTTTCTTTTCTCACCTGTGGAAACCCCTCTTCCAATTACTTGCTTCCCTGCCACCTAGAATCTTCAAATATTTAAATGCAACATCAGTTGCCATATTCTGTCTTCCTGAATCCTGTTCCTTTGTACTTTTCTTTACTAAAGTCTTCTCATTCTCTTCCTGTAAACCCCCCACCCACGTGTCCTAGTGGCATCATCAGCTTGCTTGGGGTGAAAGGATTATATATATATATATATATATATACACACCCAAATGTAATGAGAACAAAAATAATATAAATTCTAATGTTCACAGCATTAATTCAAAAGAGGGCTCAATACCAAGAGTAGTGCAATAATTATTTATTATAATTTTTACATACAAACAAAAACAACTTGCTCACTACAAAGATGCATTCTTGTTTCAATGCAGCTGCCTCTCGACTGGTGAGAACTAAAACTGCTTATCCAAAAATTTGCTTCTCACCAGTTAAGATGCAGCTGCATCGAAACAAGAACATCTTTGTAGTCAGCAAGTTGTTTTTGTCCATATGTAGAAATTATATATATATATATAAATAAAATATTTTGAACTAAACTTTAACATGCTATCAAAATGATAAACTCATTAATTATTTAATTCATAATTATTACTTCTATCATAATTAAGTTTAAGACAAAAATTTTGATTATGAACAAATGATAAACATAAAAAAGCGTTTTTAAAAAAAAAAAAAAAAAAACACAACTTTCCATTGACTTTACATACTTAAACCAATAAATGAAAGATGGAAGTTTCTTTGTGGTAAAAAGAATGCCCCATAAAAATAAAGAGTGTAGGAATATGATTCTCTGTCATGTTTTTGCATACATCTTCAAAAGTTTGAATCTGATAATCAAAGCAAGTGTCTTATGCAATCACATATTACAGTAGATTTGACAAAATTCACATTGTCTTCATGAAATGGAAACATAATGGCAATATAATCACAAGAAAAGTTTAGCAAACATCTCCATCCTTTTGTAGCCTCTTACAAGCCTACACACAAGATGTGTGCACAATATATTCTTATTCACATCTCTATGAAGAATGACAAGCAAAGAAGTTCTGAAGGTGTACAACAATTATATAAGAGAAGTTTTGATGGCGATGGCCGCTATCTTCTGGTAGTCAATGCCATCAGATGCTCACCTTTCGCGTACTTGCTTCAAAGTAGTCAAATCCTCCACTGGTAGCCATAGTCTGGTTGCTATCAATTGTTGTGGCTGTTGTAGATGTGATGATACTGGATGCAGATGCACGTCTTGTCAGTGAGTCTTCTGCCGTCTCTTCGTCTTCTGGATTGGTAGACAATATCTGATCATGGTTACCCATCTGGGATGGCTCTTGTGGCTGCCAAGACTGTGTCATGGGAGGAGGTGCCATCATCTGCTGCTGCTGCTTCACTGAGACTCCACCAGTTGCATTTTTTTGACTAAGATCTGAAACATTAATACGACATGCAAATAAACTGATATCTCATATTGGCCATGTAATACCAAACACTATTCCTTCTGTGTTCACAAATATAAGCACATAAATTTGGCCTTAATGATCCAATATTCATGCTTCTTTTAATTAATGATCATTAATGTTATTATTTTTACCAGTTGGTTTAATTTTTACAAAATGGCAGGTCATCTTGTTAAAATACAGGGTGTGGCAAAAGTAATGCCATTTTTTATTTATTAACTTTTATTGAACAAAAATAAATTACAGCTGTTTTAAGAAAATTTGTGAGTATTTTTTTTTTTTTAAGCATTTCACCAAGCAAGGCGGGAAGCCACTAGGACGCAAGGGATTACAGAAGATTTTGAACCAGGATCAGATAGGAGTGATAGAAGAGGGTATGAGGAGAAAGGTAGTGGATAGATCAAGGCAACTGGGGATCTCGATTGACATTACACTTGAATAGCTGGAGATTAAAGCTCTCAGGGAAACTGGAATAGGGAAGGGAGTTCCACAGGCGAGAAGTGCAAGACATGAAGCTATTAGAGTAGAAGAGAAGGCTACATTTAGGAGTTTCGACAGTGAAGGGGTGGGAGCGGGATGCCAGCCTCATAGGGCGCTTGAACTCGTGAAGTCTGGGAACCAGCGAATGCAGCTCCTCAGAGCAATTACCATGAAAGTATTTGTAGAACAGACAGAGAGAGGTGACGGCGCGTCTGTGAGAAAGTGACTGTAGACACGATATCAAAATAATATTTGTTATGCTTAACAAGCTATTTAACATGTTTAAAATGCTCCCTTTCTTTTTCGACACAACACTGAACACTACCAGCAAACATTCTACAAACCATTTGACACATTTCTGCATTAATTTCAGAAAAAAATATAATTGCTGGTTTTAATTCAGGAACTGTTTTCGATATGAGCCTGTAAAAAAGTTTGGTGGTGTTATCTCTGGTGATCATGATGGCCACTCAATTGCTCCACATTGTCCTACAACCTTGGCTTAAAAAAAAAAAAAAAAAAGGTGGAGGAGTGTGTTACTTTTGTTGCACCTTTATATGATTTATGCTTCATAACTACTGAAGCCAATTCTATTCAAATATTTTCAAAATAGTGTAATATCCAAAGATATTACTCTTTAACAAGGCAATTTTACTCTCCTCAAAAGGAGAACTGTTGATCATCTGTTGATCATTAAATATGAAAGATGTCTTATTAAATGCCCAATCAGAAGCTGAATTAAAAGATTCTCAAAAGCAATCTACACTCCAAATTTCATTCTTTCCAAAAGGGTCACTATTGTACACAATAAATATGACAATATACTGTCTCAAGAGATGGAAAATAAATTTGGGTTTTCAAAAGGGTGGGGAAAAAGAACATACCCTGAGAAGTGTATGTGGCTGAATCTGACTGAGAAATGCCTTGGGATTGATAGGTGTATGAGGGGTCAGGAACTGCTTCAATCTGAGGCTGCTGTTGCTGTTGAGTGTTGTAAGCATATTCTGAAAATAAAACAAAACTTACTGACAGAATTATTAAAATCCATTGCTCAAAAGACAGGAGGGATTCTAAATCTAGCAAACAATATCAACTTGAGAGCTCAGATAGACAAAGTAAGCATTTAAGCTTCTTTCTTTTTAAATTTCTACTGGAAATCTAATTTAATGGACCTATATATGGCAGTATGTCTAAAGATACGCTGCCAGATAGAGGTCCATTAAAAACACGCTGCCAGATAGAGGTCCATTAAAAACACGCTGCCAGATAGAGGTCCATTAAAAACACGCTGCCAGATAGAGGTCCAATAAAAACACGCTGCCAGATAGAGGTCCATTAAAAACACGCTGCCAGATAGAGGTCCATTAAAAACACGCTGCCAGATAGAGGTCCATTAAAAACACGCTGCCAGATAGAGGCCCATTAAAAACCTGATACTAATTATGTTTCTACCTATAACCTAATAATAATCCACTTGGACACTCAGCATTAATGGGCTCAAAAGTGGAAATAGTTCTCAGATCCATGGCATTTTGAAGTGAATAATCAATTCTCAGCTAGTCAACTAAATCTGCTTAGGAAGCAGTCAATGCAATTTATACCATCAAATTAGAATATTTAAGTAATAACACATTAAAACATAACAAATGTTAAAACTATAGTGTGGTTTGAAACTTTTTTTCTCCTGTCACCAATATATCTATCTCACTAAAATACACCACAAATAAAACACAAAAAGGGTTTGAAAAATGTGACTGAAAGAAATTCAGATCTAGTCTAATGATGATTTGCACCTTTCAACCAAACAAATTAGATTATAATAATTGTCCTTAATGCAATAAACCATTGAGAGAATTATTTTTCCTCCATGGGGGAATCTTTGAGTTTTTTGGAGTTTCCTCTCCCCACACATACTTTTGTTGACAGGGGGATGTCAGAGACCAAACATTGGAATACTGATATTTCTACAAATTCCAATTCTATAATGCACCTTTTGAACTGTACAATCTTGAAAATAAGGCATGACATTTGAAATTATGGTGAAAAGATGCACAGGGGGTAAATTAAATAAAAAAAAAAAAAAAAAAAAAGCTTAAGAGAACCATTGCATAAGAAAAGAATGCCTGAGATTAATGAGGCTCAACAAATGGCTTACCCAAATTTTCACCATACCCCTGCTGCTGCTGCTGCTGTTGCTGCTGCTGCTGTTGCTGCTGTTGTGGTTGCCCTAAATTGTCATAGAAAGTTGTTTGATGCTGATATTGTTGTTGGTAAGCATCTTGAGTATAACTCGACATCAGTTGAGAGTTCTGCACATATGGACCACCAACTGGCATCTGTTGGGGATATCTTGGTAGCAAGGAATCCTGGGTATGATTCAAGTAGGCAGCTATCTCACCACTTTCACTACTGTTAGCTGTGACATGAGGTCCCAAAGGAGTGACACTTCCAGAAAGAGGCTGTATCGAACCATCCTACAAAGAAATGAAATAAAAGATTTCTGCTAAGCAAAATAAAGAGCTGGATTATATATTGTACCCAGGTGTAATAGAGATCAAATCAATTCTCAACGAGTTTAGAGATATATTATCAAAATTTCTCCTTTTAAAGAGAAAAAAAAAAGATAAATTTTATTTAACATCAGGGTAAACTTTTTGTCACTTTTAAAACTACAGACAAGAGAGAAATAGAGATTCTTGCCAAATCTCAATTTTCTATTAAAAAGGAGTTTTATTTAAAAATAGTTTTCAAATATTGGAGACATTCTCTCTATAGTTTGTTTCAAAAGAAAAAAACTGAATGCTAGTGTGTTTACAAAGTTGCAAATATGGAATAAGTCTTGCAAATAGTAAAAGTTTTAAAAAAATGTTTAAAACTTACCCATACAATCATAATTAATATTTTACTAATATTTACTTTCACCTTAATTTTTTTTTTTTTCCAAATTGTAACTTTTACTGAAGCCAAATTAATTGTAAATAAATGATAAACTCTTGACAAGATTCAAACTCATGTCATTCCCACTAAGAGTTTATTCTTCATTTTCAATCTTGTGCTCTCAACTCAATGCTGCAGATTGATGGTCATAGTTAAAGTTGCAATAAAAAGCAAGCAGAAAAATTAAAGTAAATATTCATCAGATATAAAGGATTTATAATATTTTAAGCAAATAAAAATAATACTGCAGTAATCATAAAAGTTTATAATCAAGAATAATTCTTAATTTGATCTTTTGTAAACTATCAACATAGATTATATTAAACTTGTAAAAGTAACCAATAATTGGAATTGGTAATTATGCAGAGATCAACAAGGGTACAAAATGAAGATGGTATTCTGCAGCCTTTGGAATATTTTACTATTCCTTCTTGTACATTCTTTTCTCCAATAAATACCGATCTACTGATTCTCTCAAAAATCAATATTATCACTTAATGCCGACTCAAAGTCAGTACTAGAGTAGTGACACTCCTATTCATCCAATGGATTCATAAGTAAATCCAACACCTGCCAAGCACTCATCTGCTACTATTTTAAGTCTACTCAACCTAGAATAGCTGTCAACATGATTGAAAATAAATACAGAGTGCAAGGTTTTGCAGATACTTAATGCTGGTCTACCAGTGAATGGGGACATACGAGGGTAAGTCAAAAATTATCCTCACTTTCACCATGATATATCTTTAGGTTTTTCACACTGCCTTTTGCATATGCGTGCTTATAGTTGGTATTATTGTGGTTACGTGATCAAAGTTTGCACTTCATCACACCAGTTTTCTTACTGCTGTTACAAAAAAAAAAAAAAAAAAAAATGGCAGCTCTACTAGCAGCATTCACCAAGGAGGAAAAAAAGAGCAGTGATCGGAATCTGCAGAGAAAATGTTACTTCAGTGATGATAACTCACCAGTTTACCATAAATCTCGAGCTTACTGAATCTTCTTGTCAGTGGTGATGGTTGACAGGCATCCTGCTCCTTCTTCATACGTCATGCTTGTCCAGCCACTTTTAAACTTATCAATCCACTCATACACACTTCTACATGGTAGTACACTGTACTGTGTTGTGTTAAAAGCCTCCAATAAATTTCAACCCAACACACCTGACCAGAGAAATCAGATCACTGCTCTTTGTTCCTCCTTAGTGCACACTGCTAACAGAGAGGCCATGTTTACACTGTAATAGCAGCAAGGAAATTGGCACAATCAGGCTCAAACTTTGAATCCATGACCCCAATAGTAACAACTATAAGCACGCATGAGCAGAAAGCAATGTGACAAACCTAAAGAAAGTGGGATAATTTTTGGCTTAGCCTCATAGACACAGTAAGACATCATCAGTATGGTATATGATTGGGGACTAAAGATTTTCGGCCCAAACCATTTCACAAAATCTTTCCAAATAAGCAAATATCAGATACTTTTTTCAGAAAGGATTCTTGCTTCAGGTAGCAACTTTTCAGCACTCCTTTGCACTGGTGTTCATAACATGAAAAATGCAGGACCTATTTTTTATTTTATTCATAAAGGCCAGGAAAATAAAATTATCTTTGCCTACATATTTACAGGTTATTACAGAATAATTCCTCAGAAGAAAAATTGATATTCTTAAATATCTTTTTAAGTTGGGTACTTTCTAAAGCAAGGGGCTGGTCAAATTAGTTTTAGCAATTTTTGGAAAATCTGCAAATTTTTCAAAATGACATTTCACATATGAAGACCTACCTCAAAACTCTGGCACACATTACTCAGCTGCTGTAGCCACATAGGGTCAGTCATATCTCCCATCTGCAAATGCTGAGGGTCGTAGCATTTCAGGCGGTTAGAGATCTACAAAAAGAATAATAAATAAAAGGTGGATGAAATACACTCCAAATGGCTGTCTTTTTGTAAATTTTAGGTATGAGGCAGGCAACCTGACACTGTAAAATTCATGACACTAAAATCACTGCAGCATCAGTTGCCATGGTTGCAGCCATATGCTCTACAAGAAGTCCCCAGAAACATACATAAGTTTGTAAACTGCTTTGATTTCTAGAAAAGTTATTTTTCTTTTATGACACTATCTCTATAGTCAGAAATATAGACAGATACACTATCACTAAATATTTTGAAATATTAATGTTGAAATGTATTAAAATCACAAAAAAGGTTTTAAGCTGATTGTTAGCCATTCAAAGAAAGTCAAATGTAAAAGTAATTATAGAAAAGCAACAAAGTAATAAAATGACCCAGTGGATGAAAGTGTTGGTTGGATCCAGTGATGTGACCCAAAGTGCTGTGAGTTTGGTGACTGACAATAGCAGTGGTAAACAAAAGCTTGGAGAGTTAAGTTAAAGGGAGATAAATGAGACATCCGGAGGAAGCATGGCATGTGGAGTGGGAACAATCTACTCCGGTGGACAAAACAAAAGGTTCAATTCAAAATTCCAATCACCTGAAGAAGGCTGGAGCATACAATGGGCATAACGTGAATATGACAATAAAGATGAGGACAATAGTCCGAACAATGTAAATAACAAAATAAATGATTATTAAAAAAAAAAAAAAAAAAAAAAAAAAACAGATTTAGGTTATTTTATCACAGCAACTCCATGGGTCATTTCACACTGAATCATGTAGTTTTAAGATTTTTTTTTATTTTGTGTCTATTTTGCAGACAAATTCTTTTACAAGTCATTATTATATAAGGGTAGGGATGTAATTTGGTTTTAGTTGCATTTTATAGCCGGGTGTTTGTTTTTTGTGTTTTTTTATCTTTTGGGGTAGAGTTATGTTACTTTTAAGAATTCTAGAATGGCTTTGGGTTCAACACTCTCAAAGAGGGCCCTAAGTTTAGATACAATGTAGAAGTATTTTTGTATAGGTACCAGTTTTTTGCAGTTAATAAAAAAAATGTTTGACAGTGAGTATTCTTGGCAGTTTAGGCATTTTGGAGGGTCTTCATTTTTTAGAAGAAACGAGCAGGTTATGTGAGTGTGTCTGGTTTTGATTCTTGTAAGTGCAATGACATCTTTTCTTGAGTGTTTGGTACTGTGATGTTGTACAGTCAGAATGGGTTTTATTTGATATAGTTTGTTGTTTGTGTGTGTGTGTATTCCATGATTTTTGCCATTGGTTGAGGATGGAAGAGTTAATTGTGGCTTTCAAGTATATAAAGGGAATTTTTGAATTTGATATGTTCATTGAGAGGAATTCCTTGGCTGCTTTATCAGTGCTGCTATTCTCAGGGATCCCCAATATGGCTAGGTATCTCACACATTATATGTTTTTGATTGAGTAAAATTTATTCAATAGTTTAGTGATTAGTTGGTTGTTCAGGTTTTTATTATTGATCGCCCTCAGTAAAGATAGCAAGAAAAAAAAGACAGATACACATTATTATCACTTAAAGCAAAATGAAATATAAAATACAGACAGCTGTTTTTTAGTGAAAAATAGCTAATACAATTAGCTGCAAGAATGACAAGGGGAACACCAAAGTCACAGAAAAAGCCTGACATCCAAACAAAATAGTTTTTTTAATCTTATGAATAATTTTAAAAAAATATAATGAAAATATTAACATTGCTTATAAAAATTAAAAACAAAAATATCTTAAAGACAGGCGTACTTTTTGAATAAAAATTTTTGTATGCAAATTTAATATATTAAAATATTTTCTTCATTTAAAGGTATGGCTGAAAGTGGATTTTTGCTGAATAACAAAGAAAGTAGATTATATTTCATAAAATGTTTTCTGCACATTTTTCCTATTTAATTTATCTACTACATTTACATTTCAAATAAATTGATTTTAAAATATTTAAATATCAAACCTGCAACTGCTATTATAACAAATAGTTTAAGCAGTTTCTTATCAGTCATAATTATATACTGGTAACAAAAGAAATAGTCTGTATACTTACATCAGCAAGCACCTTCACAACAGTATATTGATAGTAGACTGGGTTTTGTATCACAGTAGAGGCTATCACTTCACAATAGTGCAATGCCTGGAAATAAACAAGTCAGAATTATACTTGACATGAAAACATTACACAAAAGAACATCATTGTCTCTATAACAATATAAAACAAATCATCCAACAATATTAACTTCTTAGGAATCTGACTATTGCTTCATTTTCATGAACATTTTTAAAGACAAAAAATGGTTTTGCAAAAAGAGTGTTGAACTTGGAAGTAAAAAGTAATCAAATTTAGAATACAGTTACTTCTAGTAAATGTAGTGAGAACAAAAGTATGCAATAAGAAACCAAGATGTTCAATGTCTTTAATTTGATGAGAGTTGTCAGATTTGTAACAGTGAATATCTAAATAATGTAATCACAGAGTCAAAACAAAAAAATGTACAAAATGTCTTTAGATAAAATCTGAACATCTTAAGTCACATCAAACTGAATTGTGGTTGTTAGTTATCGTAAGATAGAAATGAAAAAGCACTCACCAAAAATAAACAGATAAGATTTATAAATTAATGTTTTTTTTTTAAAACTATTTGCTTCATAAATATGATCACCTGCTATCCAATAAAAGGAAATAAAATATTTATTTTTGTTATAAATATTTAATTATATAATTACATAACAATGGATACTGGAATGTTATCCAATCAAAACCCAATTCCAAAAATCTCACCCAATATCAGCTTTCCACCCGACAACTAAATTCTTTCTTTGCTTAGTCAAGAACTTTTAAGCACTCTCTTATGTAGTTCAAAAATAAGCTATCAAGTGCATAAAAGAATGTTTGACTAATTGACTGATAAAAGTTTAGTCAAGCATAGCTTAAAAAAAACATTAAGTGTTGAAGAGAGAGTGATAGCCAAGAAACAAAATTCCCACTACCATATCTACACAAAAAATAAATCCTTAAAACGAAAGGCACATTAGTGAGCTCAGGCAAAAAGAAATGATATAACTGTAACCAATTAACATTCTTCTTGAGAAACTTATCAGTTGAAGGTTTATTGGGTTTGGTTTTGTTAAATTTAGTTTAATGACATGTCAATCCTGATGCATTCTCTTAGGCCAATCAGATGAATACATATATTACATATACACATGTACTTTTTCTCTATTTCCAATAGTTGGAAGAACTCAGTTTGGTAGCTACAATTGGTTTTAAATAGATTGTTTAATCCGTCAATTTGAATTCATTCAAAACCAGTACTACTTATATACCCATACATAAAAATTTTTTTAAAATTTTAAAATTTCTGATTTTTTTAGAAACCCTATTATCTGGTTAGGGGCCACCATCTTTAAACAATGTTTTTCTATTTGTGACATTGTAGTATTTACTTTGTTTAAGCTGATAGCTTTTACATTCAAATCAGAATATTCTTAACCATCAGTCTATGTACATCTTCAGCTCTTAACAGGTGTACACAAGTTAGTCATGTATGTCCAATAGAAACTATTTAGCACAGTGTCCTTCACATGTTTAGTAGTTTTTGTGTTTTCCTATCTGACATTTTGTGTTTATAAAGTTTATTTTCTAGGAAGGTGCCCCATATTTCTTGCCTTTTGCTTTTTGTACAGTTGTTAATTTTCATTTTAAAATCATTATACGGAATTTTTATATTAGTTATTTCCATGCTATAGGTTTTTTTGGGTTTTTTTTGGGGGGGCTCATTCATCTACTTTTATCAATGCTAAAATAACAGATTTTTGTAATTTCACCAGAGGTTGTTATAAGTCTCTTGGTGGCTCGTTGCTTTTCCTTTTAGGGCAACCATAGATGATAGGGAGTCAGTAATATCACAAACTGATGTTCTACTGAGCCCCTTATGAGATCAAAAAGCCATTCTCATGGGAAAGTGTATTGGTAAAGGAGAATGCTTATAAAGACAAAGATGGGTTACATGTGAAAATGGGAGCAACAATAATAATCAATAATGTTGGTTCTGATGAAGCCACAACACATGTCAAATGATAAGCAAAGGACCAGAAAATAATAGGGACAAAATCTACCTGAACTGAAGAGAACAAGGATGTAGCAGTAGAACTTATTTAGCTCAAGTTGATATGACTTTGTAGATCCCAGTAAATGCTAAGATTTTTATGGTCACAAAAAAAAAAAAAAAATAGTGTAACGGTTAATGTTTCATTGCACCTGTTAAGAGGATTTTTTTTTAAAGTTTTCGATTTATTGCACTTAAATTACCATATATCTTTTGTTACTTACCTCATGAGTCAGTCCATAATCTGCAAGGCGACAGGCATACAACAACTTGTAAGGCTGAAAAGAAATATTGAAAAACATGAGCAAATCAAATAAATTTAAAATATCATTTCCATGTTTCCTACAATTATTTCAGTGTCAGTTTCTATGTATGTCATCACAGCTGTAACTATGGAGACATCAGCAAGAAAAAGACTAAATAAATCTCTAAGTAAGTAAAGAAATGGAAGAAGCAGAAAACTAGAGCTTGTGCAAGAAAAAAAAAAAAAAAAAGTGTATCAACACCTTTTTTTCCTCCCCTTTGAAAAAGTGTTCAAGAGAAAAGTTTACACAAAATAAAAACAAATATTTTTGCTTTATTATTTAGAACTGAAATTTATGACATTTTAAAATTTATTTCTTCAGAGAAAATAAAATGTGCAATTAGTTTGTTTTTGTTTTTTTTAACCCCTTAAGAGATGACAGGGCCAATCTAATCAGTCAAAAAGTCAAATGACGAAGAAGACAACTGGGCCAATCCATTGGCCCAATAACACAAGCCTCAAAGATTAACTGGCTGGTCTTTGTACCAAACAATCAGATTGCTTCAAGCATTTCTTGTACATGTGGGCCTTTCAATGGTGGTTTCTTTGTTAGTTTGCTGTGTTCTGTGATTTTACATCAATTTTTTTGGTGTTCCAAGTGAGGGCTTCTGAAAAGGGTTCTGTCTTGGTACTGAAACTCCAAATGAGGCTCTGTCTCCAAAGGGTTAAATCAAGTTTCATCCCCATGCAAGGCAGTAATGCCACTAAGAGGTTACTGAGTGTGGAAGAATTAGGAACAGAAACATTAATAATGAGCAGGAAGGGAAAAGAGCAATCAGGAGGACAGTAGATAGCAATTGAGATTGCATTTAAATTTTCCCAGATTAAAATTTTATCACTGCCCTCACACACAAATCATTAAATTCTAATAGTCAAAAGTCTAATTGCAAAATCTTTAATTGGTAAAATCTTATGAAGAAAGCATTAATTTCTATCAGGATTAATTTCAAACTAATATTTTTTTTTTCATTTCAATGACAGAAATTATCATTCTTCATCAAACAGCACATATCAGAAATAAAGAAACACTTGAGCTATAAAAAGGCTTTACAATTAGCAGAAAATTAAATCTAATGAATAAATTCACTCTTCATTCTCTGCACTCTACACACATACAATATTGGTACCACATTATTGCTTTTAAGTATACTAGTAGTGATACTTTTTTTTTTTTTTATTTAGTAATAATTTTTATTTTTGCTTTATTAAATGAAGCCTTATCAAGCATTTTGAATGAGTATCTGTCATCAAAACAACTTGGGCAGTCAGTCTACAGCTATCAGCAAACAATTTAGATCAGAAATAAAGACATACACTTGGCAACAAATGAAAAACAGCTAAAATTAAGATGAAAGAAATACTAGCCGCAAAATAATCATGGTTGACAATACTTCATTTATTCAAATAATATGACTAATAATATTACTAGTGCATGCAAAAACAGTAATTAACTTTATTTTTTCCTGCCACATTTTTTTTTTTATGACAAGTTCCTTTATGAAGATAGGCAATAATGACTGTTCGGATTCTTTTCCTTTATTATCTGGAAAAGGAAGAGTGGTTTACTCTTGCCTTCTGGATGGTTTGGAATATAGAGCTTTACTTGGTTGTAAGAATTAAAAACAAAAAGATCTTAAAAATAAGAGTGCTTTTTGAATAAAATGCCATCCAAAATGAGAAATCCAAGTCAAGTTTGCTATTTAACCCATAGCTTGGTGTGGTGGTGAGAACAGGTGGTTTCAGGCCTTTCCCAAAGGCAGTAGTGCAAAAGTGAATGCAACAGACAACCATGAATTTGAATTTGGCTCCCCAATTCCACTTTCTTCACCAATGTCTGTTATATAATAAGGTGGTAAGCCAGGTTCAATGTTTGACTACATGAGAATAATTAATGATAATTTGAACCTGGAAAAATAAGGAAAAAAAAATAAAACCAGTTTCAAGAAGACTCCAGGAAGATTTGAACTGAATTCCTTAAGATTTAGCAAGACTAGATTCACCCCCAACCTACTCTCTGGGGTAGCGTGTCAAGGTTTATGGTCTTCTAAATTTCACAAATTCCAAAGAAAAATTCTTGCTATGTTTATTTAAAGTGCTATCAAACCCCACAAACATTTATATTGTTACCAAAAGTTCAGTCTAGGGTTTTGGCCTGACTGCATTACAAAGAAAATCTGTTATTAGATAAAGAAAAGGGGGTCATGAATATCTAATTGGAAAACATGCAATAAAATACAATACTAAAGGTGTGCAGATTTTCTTATATAAACCCGACAAAAAGAGACAAAGAAACCAGATGACAAAATGGGTTTGTTATAAACCAACCCTCCTCCTGCAAGAAGCCCAAATACATAAGATACTGTTATTATGAATTATTACAATTACTGCTAGAATAATTTTCCTGTTCAAAGATCGTCATGCAGGTGCCATGGAAAGACTAATAGTTCAATCCTTATGTACTTTTAAATTCAATTTTTTTTTATTTCATTAAACCCATTGTTAGTGATCAAAAGAGTTTATTTGTGCTGTGAAATTGGTTCTCAGCAGAGACAAACAAGTTACCACAGCTTCAAAAATCACACACCAGAAATCTCCATGGAATCACAACCACCACTGGAAGAAATCCATGTAGAAGCTGCTTAACTCCCAGCAATTGACATGCAATGGCTATGAAAGTCAAAAATACCACTGACAATACCAAAAACACTACATTTTTGGTAGAGCTGAAACAGAAAACAACAGACAGATAAAATGAAACAAAACAAGTGTAGACCTGGCAGGTTATAGCTACACTACCAGATACTATTCAAATTAATAATACATACTGCAAGCGGATGAAAAGTTTCTGCTTTTTTTATTATTATCATTTTTGTAAGTTATTTTTTCTGCTTTGTATCCTGTAAAACCGATTCCAAACTGCAGTCCTTAGGCCCTATAGGAGAATTGTCATTTAATTGATAGCACTTTTCTTAGTAAATGGGATGTTCCTAGTAGGGCGATTGTCTGCGCAACTTGTATGTTGATGTTACATGGGACATTGTTAGTAAAATTGCCCATTCCTTTTCTCATGAGGCCCAGTGCTCCAATTACTATTGGTACAGTCTCAGTCTTCATTCCTCACATCCTGTTAATCTCAATCTCCAGGTCCTTATATTTGGACAATTTCTCAATTTTTATGGGGGTATTTCTCTAAGATGTTCCTGCTATGTCGATAAGCATATACTTCCTGAAATTCTTGTCTTTTTATGATCATATCAGGTCTCTTGGGTTTTTTTTTCATGCCAGTTTGAATTAGCATGTCCCAGGACAGTTACATTGTTATTTTGGGTAGCTGTGGTTGATGCTCATACCATTTCTCAATGATTTCGATTTTGTGCTTCTTGCATATCTTCCGGTGAACATATGTTGCTACCTTGTTGTGTCTGTGGGTATATTTATTTTTTGCTAGTTTCAGACATCCTAAAATAATATGATCAACAGTTTCATCATATTTTCTGTTAGTTCCATCCTTGATTATATGACAGTGATAGGATCTGGTTGCAAAGCTTTGGTCCTGAGCTGCAATAATTAGGCCTTCTGTCAAAGTTTTCAGTCTGGTGTTCCTCAGCCACTGATGTGTTTTCTGTTGGTCTACATCTACTTCTTTCATTCTTTTTAGGTATTTGCCATGCAACAACTTGTCCTCCCAGTTTTTTTGTAATTTCATTTGGCTAAGTTCTTTTGCTTTCTACTTTACCCATTGGCATAGCTGGTTTATTATTATTATTGTTGTTGTTGCTAAGAAAGAAAGAGAGAAAGGCATTTTCACAAATCGTTTTTTTCTGGTTTCCTGATTCTATGCATGGTCAGGGAGGGACATGAAAAACTTACTGAAATGAATGACTAAATAATAGGTTTTAAGACTTTTTTTTTTTTATATATATTTGCATATGAGAAGACGAGGATCTAATACTGTCAAAAAAATTTCACATTTATCAAAATAGGAGAAAATAAACACCTGCTAAACTTTATATTTTCTCTGACAATTCAGAACAAATAAGAAATTACAGATCTGACAGAAATTAGCAGAAACATTTCCCAAGGAATTTTATTTCTTGTTGCTGCAATATGATTGCTTATGAAACTCTCTTTCAGCTTTTTGCTTCCCACTCAACTTTAGACTTCAAAAATTTAAATGCAATGTCAATTTTTATCTTCTGGCTTAATTCTTGATTTGTTTTTTGTTTTTTTTTTCTTATATTTGCTAACATTCAGTAAACCCTTGCGTTTTAGTGGTTTTATTGCCTTGCTTGGGGGTGAAATGATTAGAAAAAAAAATGTTTCAATCTTTGTGAGAATGATTGCAAAATATTTTCCCCTCCCTTTTAAAAAAAAGACTGAAACACAAAAATGAATGCTGAGATTTTTCTTAAAATAGGCAGGTTCTCGGTTTCATCTGACTCAGTCCTGATCCACCTCATCTTGAAGTCAGAATACCATGTTCTCTTATCTGAACTTGCTTTTGTGTGTCAATGCCAATACTTAGTTTGTGAACTTTTTACTTTATTACTGTTGATTTGCTTTCAATAAATTGTTTGCATGCTTTATATTATGTTTGCCCTGCTCCTTTCTTTTCTTTTTCTTGTTTATTGCAAACTTTGTAAAATTCTGTTTGTTGGAAAGTTCTGTTACTTATTTAACATTTGACCATGGCTACTCACTCCACAAATATTAGAACAACTACATTAAGAAATGCAGTTCTGTTGATTTTCTGACCACATTGCTTCCTTACTAATGACCATAAAAATCCTTTGTGGTACACCTGAATCAATAACAATACAGGTATGCAGTGAAGCATCTGCATTTCTTGATCTTTTAGAAATGCAATGCAGAAGAAATGTCATTAATTTCTTAAATATTTCAGGGGATGAAAACAATAAAATATAAAAATTATTCACTGCAAATTTTTTACTGGGTATTTTATTTTAAAAAACTTTCCCAACTATTTAAAATTGAAACTTTAAATAGAAAGTTAAACTGCAAGTATTTTCAAACATAAAATTTAAAATTTGCATAAATTTCTTTTAATTTAGATTTAATTTTGAAAAATGTATTTTTCAATCCTTCAAAAAAAGAGAAAACTAAATTTTGACTTAAAAAAAATTATTTTAACACAAGGATAACTTTAAATATCTAAATGAATGAATCTGTTTCTTATTTTTTTCGTTTTTTAGTATAAGAGTTACTTCCCTTGGAAGCATTCAGATAAAATAACGTTAAACCTGTTTATCAGGTGAAGAAGAAAAGTTCACTTGAGACACAACCAGAACAATTAACTTAAATTGCTATTTTGTTCTATAAAATTAATAAAAAAAGGAAACTCACTTGAAAAGAAGGCATTAAGTACATAGAGTTTCCAAGCAACTGGGCATATTCAAATATCTCTGTACACTGTATTGCTTCATTGGTGGCAAACTCATTCAATGATAAACTGTTTATAAAAAGAAGAAAAAGTAGCATTTAATACTGAGCACTAAAATAGACGATACATTATGAATTCAATAATTAAGTGCAACAGAAACACCTTCCACATAATGGTAAGACATTAGCTAGATGAAGATAGAATTGCCACTAATGTCTTACCATTATGTGGGAGATATTTCTGCCACACTCTGTATTTCAATATCTGGTTTAAAACATCTATATTGAGTTACAACAAAGATGATCAGATTAATCAGAAGCGGTAGGCAATAAAAGTTCTTTCTTGAAAGAAAAATCAAAAATTCTAAATAGAATCAACAAAAGTAGTTTCAGCAAATTTGCAAAATCCATTCTCTGCAAAAACGTTTCCTTATGAGATTTTTCTTTGTTTAAATTATAAATTCTGAGACTTACTCTTTTGTGGAATAATATTTATCAAATTACTTGTACATCATATGTACTTTATTGCAGTTTTAGTTGCTCAAATATTGTAAAATATTTATTACAATAGTTAACTAGTAATATTTAAAAACTTAAAGTATTACTATTTATAAAAATAAATGAATTAGTAAGAAAAAAAATTTACTCAAATTTTCATAGTTTGATATTACAAAATGAACATGGAATATGAAATAAGAAAATAAACAAATGAAATAAGAAAATAAACAAATGATAAAATATTTAAAAACAAAAAAAAACATTTAAAAAAAAAAAAAAAACAAACAAAAAAAAACAAACAAAAAAAAAAACAAGAAAGTTGATACTCCTAACCTGTGGGATGATCCAATCAATACAAGTTTTGAACTCTTCTTACTGTATGTACCAAAGTTTACTTGTGCCATCAAGTAACAAAAATGGCTGGCATGGAGACAACCTTTGGAAGCTGGAACAGACAAGTTTTGAAATGATAAAAGACTAGCTTAAAAAAGGAAGATAGAAACTATAAAGGAAGATAGAAACTATAAAGCAAGACAGAAGTCAATATCTTTGATAATGTAACATTTCCAAAATCTGTATAAAAAAAAAAAAAAAAAAAATCAACATTTTTATTTCAATCATACAGTTTCAGAAATATACCATTTTAAAACTATATGGGTCCTCTTTGAAATATTGTTTTAATATTTTCTTTATTACTTTCATTTTTTAATAGAATATCAAAACAAAGATAAATTGATATAATTTCCATGTTATGCTCGATGAATTCAAAATCTGCCATTGCATTGTCCAAGATACCGACAACATCAGGAAAACTTAGTGGTTAATGTTAGTGTCAGAATCAACTATGTGTCATTGGTTCCAAAAATTCCCTTTTGGTGATCTGGATGAGCCTGATTGTGGTTAAAAGTCATCACTTGACAATGTAGAACTGAGGCCATTCTTCTAAAGTTAATATTTTGCAGTTTTATCCCCTAGTTTCTGTGTCACAGTAAATAGACTATGAAAATTTTGATATTTGCTTACTTCCTGTCCAATTTTGGCATTTACAGTGTCACATATTAGAGTGAATTGGAAAAAAAAACCGGGCATATTTAATAAATCCTACCTATGATATCACAATGTATTTAATAGGAAAAAGATAAATACAGCTATTTTTGCTAAAACACACATTTTCATTTTACTCTAGCATAAATACAAAGATGACTAGGAATAGATAGCTTTGCCTACCATCTAGTTCACACTCCTACCTGGTCTTTTGAACAGGAGCAGAGGTTTATCCCTTGTTTCCCTGTTTAGAATTTGGTTTGCAGTTCATTTTAAAGTTTATTTACACACTATAATTCTAACGTCTCTGACCGAATGCTGAAATGTTCACTAATTCAATATTGACCTCTTCAAGTCTAGAGTTAGCCATTATCTTTTCTGCATAGCCCCAAGAATTTCACTGCTTGCCACTTTTTTTTTTCTTTCTCTTTTTTTTTTTTTTTTTTACACTAATACAACACCACACAGTAACCATCAACCTTAGTAAAAACAAAAAAAAACAAAAAAGCTCAAATAGAAATTTCAGTTTTCTAGTGACAAGAAAGAATTGTTAATTTTAATAATGCTTTATATATCATGTTTTGAAAAACAATTTGCTAAAGAAACAATATTTTTCTGTTTGTTGATTTTGGGTAACTGGTCCAAAAAATATGAAGATGCATGGTTCGACACATTATTGGAGTATTATACAAAGAGAATAATAAAGGTATAATAGTGACATACCTAAAGTGTCTCCAAGAGTTGTAATGCTCTTCTTGTCCAACTCTGGTCTACTGGAATGGTTTGACAATATCATGGCGAGATGGGGTCGCCAATCTCCCCAGTTATCATCACACAAACTCTGGGAAACAAAAACAAATACAGTTTATTCTCTCTTGGATTTTAAATTATGAGCATCTATTCTGATAGTACAAAACCTAAAGATGTAAGCAATATTTTATATTGACATACTTTCTTAAAGATGAAGTCTATTGAAAGCCTTATCAAAGATAAATACTTAAAATAGTCAATAGCCTTTAAATTTTAAACAAAAGCAAAATCAATGAACGTTTACTGCGTTTAGAAAGAGCTAAGAGAAAAACTGACTTGAACTGTACCTAAACTGACAAAAGTACATTTCATGAGATGCATACCAAACACTGCCAAGACTGTGAAAACAGTTATTTCCCTTCGTTGTACCAGATTGTTTTGATCGACTTATTAAATAGTCGCCCAATTTTCAAAATACAACCATCAGTGTTTTTATTTTTTTAATATGTTGTTTAAAGATAGCTAAATTTTATATTTTCCAACTAAAATATTACTTACATGGGTCTCATAGTATCATATCATTCAGTACAAAAAGTTTGTTTTTTTTTTACAAAAAAAATAATACTGATATTAAAAATAGATTACTGACAATATTTAACCTTCATGTCTGAAAGAAGGGTGTCAAAAGGACAGTTCTTCCCTTGACACCACTATTATTTTAACTACTTTCACTCTTCACCATTGTTTTAAAGTGATGATTAGAACTATAAGAAAACCTAAACATATGAAAGTGAATTCATACATTTTTTTTTTTTACTTTTAGGTTATTTACTTACAAGAATAATTTTATATTTACAATATTCTAAAAACTACCATTAAAACTAAATCCATTCAACATTTATCATTTACCAATTTATAAAAGAAAATATGAAAACAATTTATTTATAAATTTATAAACATTTACTAAATTATAAAAATGTGAATAAGGAATCATTATTATTTACCAAAGTTTGAATCAATTTGCAATTTATCCAATGCTATGCCAACTATTCCATTAAACAATATAATAGTGTTTAATATTTTTGTTGTCAATTCTCAGGAACAAAGAAAATGTATAAATTCACTTTCATAGGTTTAGGTTTCATTAAAATTTTAATGATTGCTTTAAAAAAATACTGCCAAAGAGTTAAGATAGTTAAAATAATAGCAGTGTTTTGTTTTTTTCTTCAGGTATAAAGGTTAAACATTATCTTAATGCTTTTAAATTACTGAGAAGACAATGGCTGGTTACAATTAACGTAAATTGAGAAAAAAATTGTTTGTAAACAAAGAAAATTTTGAAATGCAATCTTTAATCATTTCCATTATGATAAAAGTTATGTAGTCTTTCCTATTTATGATAAAACTGCAGTTTTAAATTTTCAGGCCCAATTTTCAAAAGATTGGAAATAAATCATATGGCTACTTACAGTAACTGAGGCTGGTTGACGTCCAGACATCAACTGGTACAACGTTTGCAAGGGATCATTCATTTGAATTGCACTGTTAGCAAATCTGAAAAACACATTCAAAAATTTAATTTTCTCTCTCCTTTTATCCACCTCCATGGTAAAATAGTTTTTGCGAGTTCATGTTAAATGAACATAAATACAAAAGTTCAAAACTTTGTACACAAAAAGAAAAATCTTCCAAATTTTGGTAAATAATAATTTGCCTACAATAAGATAATTCTATAACATTTACATAAATATATTTAAAACTAATGTACCTGTGCCGCCAAAAGGGATGGCTATTGTTAGAAAGTTTTAATAGTGAGATGCAATGAAACAAGTCTTGAACGAATGTAATGAAATTCAATAAAACAGGAAATAAAAAATTCGCAATGAAAATAGAGGCCAATGAACTGGTTAATTAATCTGTTTACCTGTACCGGCATTCACCCGAGGTGGGTTGAGCTGGCTCCAATATTGGAGTTTCATGGAAATTTGGAATTCACAAGCGGTCCCCAACCCGCATGCAGAGCACATGAGACTATTTGATTATAGTAGTGAAGGTTTCGTGCAGGACCATCCACGCTTTTCAAAGGGCCGATTACAGAGACCTGGTGCACTACATGCCACAAGGTCCCCAAACGACCCTCCACAGGTTTTGAATTCAGAGTCTTTCCTTCTCCTAGACCAGTTGCCATTCAAGGCTACAGAACCCAGTTTGTCCTGCTATTTACCCATAACTGGAGGGAGAAGATTCACACCTTTCCCAAGGGTATTAGCATGTAAGTGAATGTAATGGATTCGACTGGAATTCAAACTCGGCTCTCCGATTCCTCAATCCAAGCTGTTATCCATTACTCCACCATGCCTCCTCCTAATTAACCTGTTCCCTGTATATGTTTTAAGCATTCAATAGTATCTTGGATTCATTGTATACTCCTGGTATTATATAAATCACTTTTTGTTCAATATCATTTCATGTTAAAATTTATGTTTTTAATATAACTGCAAAATGGAAATATATCTTGGAAAGGAAAAGATTAGCAACAGAACAACAAAGACAGCAATGACAAAGCCAATTTCAAGACTAAGTTGAAGCAACACAAAGGTATCTGAGTGCCTCACATGAAAGGCTTGAACAAATAAAACTGCATTCAAAGAAACGAAGGAGTAAAGGAATTGATTACTTAATTCATTTTGTTCAGGAACTAATTTTGTCTAAATGCAGATAAATATTTTATTTATATAGATTGTTAAAATGATTAAGGGAAGTAATCATTCATAAATTTACTAACTCAAGTTGATTTACCTCCCTTCTGACGACAGATAGGACAGGAAATATATAAATAAATACACATTGATAATTATTTATATAAAGAGGATTTTTACATATAAATTTTTAAATACATTTCTTCCAATTATTATTATCTTTCCAGGAGCTGTTTCCTGAAAACATCTTCAATCAGTAACTGTTGTGACATAGAAAAATGTGATATTACTAAGGAGATAAAATACCAATTTCAGAGATGCCTTTGTTTTTCACTATGTCAATAAAAATTCTCATTATAAATTACATTTAAAAAAAAAAAAACAAAAAAAAAAAAAACATTATTTTATGCACACACACACAAAATGGGAACAAACAAATTTGAAACTGATTGCAATCTTGAAAGTTGTTAACCACCATTCTAGTTTCCTCTAACTTACCGTGTCATGATATCAGCATGGGTCCTGTTGTCCATCTTACTGGCCAAAAACAAAGCATGTCCCCAAAGGTTGTTCTTCATTGCCCAGCGTAAAGCATCCTAGGAAAAATTTCAATAATTTATCAACACTTTAATTCTTACCATTATTATTTTTAACTGTCATTTTTATTCCATATTATTGCTTATTTATTAAATCACATCTAAATGGATACATCTCTTAAACTCCTAGAGAAAAACTGTAAAATCAGAAATTAAGTAGCTTCTAGAAAGATTAATTAAAATTCCATGCATCAAGATCAAGTTTTTCATGAATGTTACTTGAACCACTTTGAGCCCAGAAACCTCAATGATTGAATGAGGAATAAATTAATAGTTATTCTGCCACTGCCTATTTCACTCCATTCTTTATAGCATCTCTCATCATGGGCTGAGCAGTGGATCAAAACAAGAAAAGAAAAAAAATCCTTCAGCTAATATTATTAACTTTGATTCTCAAAAACTGAAATGCAATGTCAATCATTATCATCTTTTTTTAATCACTATTCTTTTATTATTCTCTCTCCTTCATAGCATTTTTTTTGTTCTTATATTCTCTCAAACTCAGTAACCCCCTTGCATCTTAGTGGCTTCAATGTGGTGTGCTTGAAGGGGGGGGGCTTCAATCCTTAATTACAAGTAAAGTTAACAATACCCATCAACATTCAAATTTAATTCATTTAATTAATCAAAACGGTATGTACAAAAATATCAACCTGGAATGAGTATTTAATATGAAAAAACATTAAATGTACTTTCCATAAATTTTGTAGATGTCTACAAAGATGAACATTGGAAATGGTTTTAGACCAACAAATATATGCAACACTATTTAGCACTGGTAAATGATAAGAAGGTTAATGAATAGAACGACAGATATACCGACAGACCACTGGTAAATAATAAGAAGGGTTAATGAATAGAGCAATAGATATACCAATAAACCACCATGAGAAAGATGGAAGATTTTATTTCTCAAAAAGCCTAATTATCATGAAACTGAAAGACTAACTTTAAACAACATTTTTTATGAAGGAAGCTATATGGCAATATTCTGACGATTGATGATCATCGCTAAAAGTGCTGGTCACAGAGAAACAAAAGTGGATAGACCCAGATAAGAACTGATCTAAAATGAAAAAAAAAAAGCCCCTGAATATATTTGGCCCCTGCAATACATTGCATAATATATATCAATGATATACTGAAAAATGAAAATTTCCCCCCTGCAGAAAAAAATATCCATTATATGGAGTTTAATAATATTAAGAGTTTACATTAAATTTATGTTATTTAATTCTATTATTCATTCTTGTTAATTGGAAGAGAAAAAAAAATGACTTGACGACATTCAATCAAATTGTTACTCAAACTAGTATCATATTTTCTTGTGCATAACACAACCCATGTTTGTGTTGCTAAAAACAGGGAATAAATTACATCCTTGAGTATAATACGACCCCATAGTACAACCATTCCTATGTAATTTTTTTTTTTTGTAAAGTTGTACCATATTATCCATTAAAATCTCAATGTCGTATATATATTTCACTAAAATATTTTTCACAATATTAAAGAATAGAAATAAACAGATGTTTAACCATTGCATGTTTCTTCTAATTACCATTTCAAAACTTATCAAATTTTCAAGGAAAGGCGCTAACTAAACATACCCAGTAATATATTTTAAGGTGTTAATTAATCTATCGTACTGTTTGATATTTTATTAATATATAGAAATATAATAAACTACAAAAATAAAAGATATTGCCTTTCATTAAGAACAAATGAGAAACAAACATTGCTGACATATAAAATACCTTTTATAAACAATTGTTATCAATGACTGCCTACTTTGCGTTTTATTTTCTAATGCTGAGTGTATTTGCAATCTTGCTGTTTTAAATAAGAGGTTTTACAGCTGGGTAAAAATTCCTAAAAAATGTGTACAATCACTCTAGTTTTGCCTTTAATTTTCCTTCAAAATTTCTCAAATTATGCACAAGAAAATATAGTAATCAGTATAAATAACACTTGCTAGCATTTAGAAAATCTAACAAGTGTATCCGTTGTTTTTAAGGAAAAAAAAGAGAGTAAGTAACCACACTGACCTTTTTCATGCCATAGAGTAAAAGGTGTCGGAAGCGATCTGTACGCTCATTGAGAGTTGCTGTTGTTGATTTGTTGACAATGGCTTTGTCTGCAATGGTTACTGTGCCAGTATCACTACCCTGGGCTGAAGGAGGTCGAGTTGTATCAAATTCATCATCAACCTTGTTTGCTCCTTCTAAATAGTCAGCTGTTAATGGCTGATGACCCTCTAGGAGCAGATCTGCTATATCAGTCCCCACAATTGTCTGGAATTAAAATTTAAAAGAACATACTGAATGCCTAGAATTATGAATGTCACAACAAAAGACAGACAGCAACAAATGTGTAAAAAGTAGAAACTGAAACAATGAATGAAAATGACCATTTAAATCAAACCTTTTCAGAAATAATACCAATCAAAATAAATGTGGAAATTGAATTGAAAATTCCTTCAGTATATTTTACTAATGTTAAAAAAAAAAAAAAAAAGGTCAAGATCCTTGTAGATAAATTTAAACTATAAGAGTAGATAGGTTCACACTCCTCCCCAGTTTTTTGAACAGGAGTAGAGGTTTATTCCTTGTTTCCTCTTTAGGATTGGGTTTATGGTTCCTTATAAAATCTTATCTTTTGCTTTCACTTCCAGTAGCCCCTTGCATCATAGTGGAATTATCACCTTGTTTGGGGTGAAATGATTAATAAAAAAAAAAAAATTACAGTGACTAGGAACTGCTTTGTGGCACACGGCTCAAGAGCCACTCAAGATAGAGGATTACTGAATGATATTGTTGTAAGGGCATAAAGGGAGGAAGAAGAGGGGCATATTATGAAGATATGTAAGAGAGATATCAGTTGACAAAAAAGCTAAGATTGTAGTGATCAGGGAAGAATCCTCTCAGAAGTCTGTTCCACAAAGTAACAGCTCTGGAGAAGAAGCTGTCTGGGTGGAACTTTCTCCTTACCAAAGGACTATGAAGGGCATGAGGAGGACAATGCCATGTATGTGGTATGACAGGTTCTAGCTGTGAAGGTCTTAACGGATGGAACTAAGGAATGTAGCTTGCCTGAATATTTGTCATATTGATAGTGATAGAGGAATGAGAGGCTTGCAATGTTTCACCTGTGGGAAAAGAGTTGCAAGATGGAAACTAATTCATCACCTACAAGGCTGCATAATCTCTTTTGAACTCTATCAAAGGTGGATAGTGAGGACTGGGCAGTACCAGCCCAGGTATGGCAGCAATACTCCATTCTTGGACTGAGCTAACTCTTGTAAACAGAGCATGACAGTACATGTTAGCTGCTTCTTGGAGCGGTACAAGGAATCAGCAATTCTTCCAAACAATATAACAGAACCATTTGAACAAAAATACCTGATTATTTACAAATCAAATATGGCTCGGCTTTTATTCTGTAGCAAAATTTTTCAAATGTTATTAACAATGAAATGATTTTAAATAATATTATAACACAATTGAAGTTTAATATTGTAATTCAATGTAAGTAAGTTAGAATAAAGTTCCATTTTATAGAGTTTCTGTTCATATGCATGGTTTCACAACTAAAGACCAAAAATGTTTTTCAGATTGATAATGCAGAATAAACCAGTAAATATGAATTTAAACCTTTCCATTTTTCTTTCTTTACAATGTGAATTGATGCTGTAAACTCAAAAGCAATAGTTCTTACCCCGTTCTGCTTAATGAGAAGCTCAAGAAACCTCCACAACAATGCTGCTGATTCTCTATCAATGACATCCACATTTTCACTGTACTGCTTTGCTTTGTTCTGGCAAAACACGAGGACATCATTTTTGTGAGTTTCACCCCTGAAAACATAAAAGAAATCTCTCTCAGTTTATAAGACCCTTGAGTGATCCAAATGAAGAAATGACACTAATAAAAGTAAATTAAAAAAAAAAAAAAGTCCCAATGTATTCAATTCCTAAAAAGCAATGAAGGTAATGAGTTACTAAAACTGATATGTTACCAATATTTCTTAATGGATATTAAATAATTCTTACTAACCAAACATTCAAATCTAACTCAAGGAAAAAAAGAGATTATTGATAAATACCAAAAACAAATAAACATACAAAAAATGTATAAGGACCAAATGACTGATTTTCTAAGAAAATATTTTTTTCCTATTCAAAACTCATTTATACTTTATGAATTTAAGTGCAGTACTAAATTTGCAGCAAGGTCTCATCATTTTACAATTGAAATGGCTAGATGTAGTCACAAGTTCTATGCTGTCACTTTATCTACTGTGCCTCAAGGACACATGGCACAGTGGATAAAGGTGTTAGTTAGATCCAGGTGACAGGACCCAAAGCATATGAGTCCAATACCTGGTTAAGGCAGTGGAGAACTTGGAGAGGGGAATCAACAGGAGATAACTGATAACTGACATCCATTAGACATGGCACGTGGAACTAGAAAAGTTTAATTTCCCCAGTGAGTGAAATAAAGGGTTCAGTTCGACATTCCAACCACCTGAAGAAGGCCAGAGCGTACAACGGACGAAACATTGTAATAAACATGGCAACAAAGATGAGGACAATAGTCCAAATAATGTAAATAGTGTACAGTATTTTCTTGTTTAATTTTTATGGTTAATTAGTTAATTACCATAGCTAAATAGTGTCACAGAGTTCATTACATTTTAGAGAGTTAAAATTGATGAAAATCAAAACAGAACAAGCTCTTTTAATGGCCAGTGCTAATTTTTATAAAAAAAAAAAAAAAAAAAAAAAAATTCAATATATCCAGTAACACATATCCACTGGTGGCAAGCAGCAAAAACATTTCTAATAATAATTTCACAATGAAAATTTGTGTTTTATAATGACTCAATTTCTAAACTGAGAAATTTAAAGATAAATCAATTTTGAAGATTATTTTTCCATGAAAATGATAATTAAGAATGAAATAGACTTCTAAAGAAACTAACCATTTTTGTCTGAAAACAGACTAATGAATTAAAGTATTGGTATATGAATTAAAGTATTGGTATATGAATTAAAGTATTGGTATATGAATTTGATGACAATGATGTATATTTGGACTCGATGAAAATTGAGCAAGCAATAACAGAGCAGTACTAAATAAGAACTAAAATGATATCCCTAGACATGAGAACAATCTACTCCATAGGTTAAGTAATGGGTTAATTTTAAAATTCCCTGTAGGTTACACCTACATAAACTTGATGAAGGACAAAGCAGCCAAAACATAACAACAAAGATAAGGACAATATTGCACATGTTAATAATGTAAATAAGACTAATCACTGTCTTTTGATGGCTAACCTGATCAAAGGTCCTGGAAAATTATGGAACTCTTCGGCCTCCTTCTGATCAGACAAAATATCTTCAACGTTGATTATTTCCACAGTGGCTGGCTGTCCATCTGCTGGCCGATTAGGTAACACATGAATGAGGCGTCCACCAGGACCAAAAGCAGCACAAGTGTGGGGTGTAAAGAATTTGGCAGGAGTCATTCGACCTTGGTTGTAATCTTGTGGAAGAAAAATAGAAAAGAGAAAATTGATTTGAATAATCAAACAATAGCAAAAACTGAACAACATTACTTCCTCAGATGAAAAAAAAAGTCATTAAATTTATTAAATAGGACAAACACAATTTTTTACCAATATTTCTTATGGTTTATTTGTTGCTTTTTCTTTTAAATCATGTTGTTGTTTGAAGAGTTTTATGTTCTATAGTGAGCTGGAATCATTTGTTGGTGAAGCCGCCATTGCCTAACTGGTAGAGGAAGGCTCACAAGGATAAGTAATGTGAATTCAAAACTTATTCTTTATTTGCAATTGTTGCTTCTTACTTTACAATTCTAGGTTAATGACTTGAGAGTTTCAATAAAAATTCACACAAATAAAATGAAAGAAATACTCTTCAAAAATGAATAATTACTTTCTAAAGTTTATATTGTATATAATTGCAAATTCATTACATTCAATTATAATCAAAATTATCAGTAGTTTATTTACAGAATCAGCATTTAGGTAAGCTTCTTTCACTAATATCAAAACTAATTATAGTCATTTTATACTTTATTTTTTTTCAGGTGTAGTATCAGATCAAAGAAAGACAGCTATCAGATTCAATACTCGATAGGAAAGCAGCTGCTGCTATGTTCATCTCAAAAACAGAAGGTTTCTATTCATATATACACTTCAAAAAGAATTACCACAAGCTACTTATCATGCCTACATTAATCAAAAGGAAACATCAATTTTGTTACATACATCTTTTATATTTATATGTATTATTACAACAGATTATCTTTGTTAAAACCTGTGATCAATCATGATTTTATGGTATTGGATTTCATTTCATCTATAAGTTGAAACAAAATTGTTTTTGTTTTTCCCTTACATTCCATCAGCTTTTCATCATGTGTTGACCAATCTTCATTACCATAATAACCCCGGCTGTAGTAATAGTCATACATGTCTTGCCCTTGTTCATAGGCAGCGGCTGCATCTCTGTGTAAATAGTGGGGAGGAATACTGCAAAGAAAGAAAACATGCAATAGAAGAAAATCTATAAGAATAACAATAATCCACAACAATCAACCTTCCTTTAAAAACAATCACTGGAGATTTGTCAAAAGCTCAAACTAAAATTAACTACACATTGAATTCTAAAAACTATTTTATTGACCAAATAATTTAATTCTTCTAACATGTTACAGCTAAGAAATCAAAATTAAAAACTGTCCAACTTGTACTTCGGGAAAGCGAAACATCCAAGTTCAGTTATAAGAATTTCAGGCAAACATAAATGTGCCTGAAATAAGACGCAATGTCAACAGGACACTTTTTCCATGACTTTTTTTTTTTTTTTTTTTTTAACTATCTTCAGCAATGTTTATTGTCCTAAAAAGCAATAATTAGAATTGGAATAAAACCTAAACATGATGAAAGTGAATTCATACATTTTTTTTTGTTGTTGTTCTTGAGAAATGACAACAAAAATAATAAACACTATTTATTATATTGTTTATTGGAATGGTTGGCAAAACATTGGCTAATTTCCAATTGATTCAAATTTTATAAAAACGTAAATAAGGATTTCCTTATAAATGGTTGACATCTTTTAATAATTTAGTAAATGTTTATAAATTTATCAATGAAAAATTGTTTTCACATTTATTTCTTTATAAATTGGTAAATGATAAATATTGCATTGCATTAGTTCTAATTGTATTAGTTTTTAGAATGTTGTAAATATAAAATTATCCTTGTAAGTAAACAATGTAATAAACTTCATTTAAATTTCTGTAGATTGTAGATGACAGGAAAACAGGAAGCCAGAAGAGAATTCAACAGATGAGAAGTGCAAGAGAAGAAACTATTAGCATACAACTAGCTATTTCAACAGTGAAATTATGAGACCTAGCTGCCAATCTAGTACTGAGCTTAAATTCGTGAAGTCAAGATACCAACAAAAAAAAAAAAAAAACTCATCAGTACAATTACCATGAAAATACTTATAGAAGAGGCAAAGCGAAGCTATATTATAGCAGTGGAGAAAATGACTGAAGCTGAGATGCCAGGTCAAGACAGATAATGATGCCAATTCTTTGGTTATTGATTTTTTTTTTGATTTTTTTTTGCTTGTTTCATTTACACTGAAATTGTTGGTGTTATACTAGTAGGTTGAAAAATATCTATATCTTATAATATATAAAATTATATGATCTCGTATGGGAAACCCATATATAAATATTTTATGTCAGAAACAATTTTAGGGGAAAAAGTACAACAAAGTGGAAAAAAAAATTTTGTGTGACACATTTTGTCCTTTACGACTTCAGACTAAATTTATGTTTACATTGATGCGACTACACATACACCCAAATGAGGATGCTGAGAATTTTAATCACCCCCCCCTTTCCTTTGTGTGCATATGTAGTCACATCAACATAAACATAAATTTAGTCTGATAAGGTCCTAAAGGACAAAACACATCACACAAAACCTTTTTCCACTTTGTCTTACTTTTTCCCCCTGAAAATCTATGTTTTTGTAATGTTTCAGTATTAAAATTTAGTTAGTAATATTTCCTTTTAAATTTTACATTTAAAAAGTAAAAGATTTTATGGATGATATTTAGACTCGTAATTTTTGAACTCTTCAATTTATTACTTTGTCTTACAAGATTATAACAACATAGGAGGTTAAAAAGAGTATTTATAGGGAGCATACAATAGTAAAAAAAAAAATAAAAATCATGATTCAAGATTTTCCTTTTATTACTTATGGAATATATACTTGTATATTTAATAAATAAAAAAAAGATATTAACAATAACCATTAGATTCACTGTGTGACAAGATGAATGAAATTAATTATAATAACCAAAATAGAGACAAGCACACATGGTCAGATGGTTAAATTATAAAATGTCTATCAAAGTATTCTGAAAAATTATCAAATATTAGGCAAAAATCCCATAATCCAACAATAAAAATGTTTATCCAATTTTCAAATAATGAAATGTATTAGTTATTTCTTTTAAATATCAGATTTTATATATATATATATATTTTTTTCTTTTTTCTTTTTTTCTTTTTTACTTTTTTCTTTTTTTTCTTTTTTCTTTTTTCCTCATAATCTAAATTCCCCGTTAACAGTTCTGACGAGAGGGGACGAAACCGGTCGACTGGTGTGTGTTTTATTTTAAACTTATCATGGCCTGCAATACAACATTTCTAGTTTTTAATGCCTTAATATATATATATATATATATATATATATATATATATATATATTATATATTTAGTCAACATTCAAATTTGTGAAGAAACAAAAAGAATGTTTTTTTGTTTTGTTTTTTTTAAACTATAAAAATTATGAAAATGGTTTGATGGCATATCACTTCCAATATAATGATTAGGCTATTCTGTACATACATACACCAATAAGTTTGTAGGCTAATGATAAAAGAACCCTTTCATGCAAATGTATTCAACATAATTCCCTTCCTTCTCAATTCAGTCATAAATCACAGATTGAATATTATACAATGGAAAATTTCAGGTCCAAACTTCAGCTATGTCTAACTACAAAGTTATTGATCCACTTTTTTTGCAATTGGATTGTCTTTAAATAATGCATACAATATTTATTAAGTATCTTTAGTCTTGAACTGTAATTCTCTATCATCCCAAGAAGCCAATAAGTACTGAACCCAACCAAATGTGACCTGGAAGTGTGCAGGGAACAGACTTAATTCTCGGATATATTTTGTATCTAATCAACACTAGACATCCTTTTATATTTTAAGAATTATTTTTGAGATAATGATTTAATGATACAAGTCTTAATAATTAACTCAGAGGTGAATTCATACCTTTCCCAAAGGTATTTGTGCATTTGTGAATATAATGAATCCAACTTTAATTGGAACTTGGCTCTCTGATTAACAATTCTGAGCCATTATCCAGTACACCACCTGCACCTCCAAGCTTACAGCACCTGATATTCCCAAGTGGTGATCCATCTAGGTACTGACCAGGCTTGACATGGTTTAACTTCAGTGATCATAAAGGAACTGGTATTTCAATGTGATGTGGCCGCAAGCCCTTAAACAGAATCTGATATTAAACTAATGAAGTAAGAACTAATGAACTGTAGAGACTGATGAAGTAAGAATCGGACATTGAACTGTGAAAACTGATGAAGTAAGAATTTGATATTAAACTGATAAAGTAACAAAAAGCCATATGAAAAAAAATATCATGCAATATATTATAAGCAAATATTTATTTTTAATAGAAAAAAAAAAAAAAAAAATTTAAGGACTTCCAGATCTGTGAATGAATTATCAAAACAAAATTAATGCAAAGATTTATTTAAAAAAAAAAAAAAAAAAAAAAAAAAAAAAAAAAAGTAGAAAGTCATTTAAGTAACACTATAACAAGAATTGTTGAATCAAAGTTTTTTTTTTTTTTTTTTTCAATATCAAACATCTTGGACGTTTTAAGAAAAATAAAAATTTATATTCTTTAAAAGATAATTTGATTTGCTGCACCAAGTAAAACCCTATAATTACAAGTGGCACACTAGCCAATCTTGAGAGAAATATGACTTTTAAATCCAATCCATTTTAAGGAAAATAGAAAAACAAACTGCAAAAACTAATCAGCTAATTTATTCTCTAATTAAAAACCTTTAAAAAATTTGACATTTTTAATGTTTAGATTTTTTGTACAACAGGCGAAACGTTGTAAATATGACAATAAATATGAGGACAACAGTCCGGACAATATGTAAATAGTTACAATAGCTCATTCAGAAATAGACAGAATTTTAATGTCTATTAAAATTCACAGAAAAATATTAACAGTAAACTGAACAAATAAATACTTTATAAATAAAATGCACCAGACTTACTTTTTGTTGTAAAACAAAAACAAGGGAAGAAAAAAGAAAATTTGTAATAGAGCAAATTGCTAAATTAAATCTGTCTACTACATGAGGTTCTACCAAAAATCTCAAGGAATTTAAACAATGATCATTGCTTATCAGTCAAGTATCATTTTCTTGTGTCTTGCCAAACATTTCACAAGAAAAAAAAAAAAGATCACTCCACCAGGAAATAAAGAACCTTATTGTCAACCAATTTTTTTTCTTTAAAACAAATTAAAAAAAAAAAATAAATTGGCCTTAAGTTCCTAATTTTTTTTATTTACATTTTGTATACTTCCATAATGTTAAACTGTAAATGCAGCATAAATCAAGCATTTGTTGTATATGTTAAGTAGAAATAAATTCAAGAATCAAATTATCAGAAAAAAACAAAAGAAAAAACATTGAAAATTTACAAACTTATAGGAGATAAAAGAAACTTGCTCAAGAGACATTTTAATAAAGTGAAACTCTGCATTGCCAAAGCTGTGCCCAAAAACTGTTATGAGATTAGAAAAAAAAGGAAAAAAAAAAAAAGAAAGAAAAAAAGAAAGAAAAAAAAAAGCACATGCAAAAAAAAAAACAAAAAAAAACAAAAAAACAACAACAATAAGAAAAAAAAAAGATGGGGAGAGAAAAAGTTACTCACGTGGATGGTACACTTTCCATTGCTGGGGTCTGTGCACGTGACTGTTCCCGACTTGTGTGGCTAGCGTTATCATAGCCATCAAAGGCACCAGCACCATAATATTCCTCATACCTGAAAGCAGCATGCCTTTTGAATTATAGAGAGGACTAAAACGTCCCAAGCAAACATGCACATTATACCAGTAGAAGGGGGAAAAAATAAGAACTTTAACAGATGTTAAAAATTTAGATTTAAAAAAAAAAAAAAAAAAAAAAAATGACATGAAAACTAATCAAATGATGAAAACTGAAGTTAAAGTGTTCACCAAGAAACTGAATATTAAAGAAAAAGTAAACAAAAAGCTTCTGTGTTTAATACAAACATGCAAGATATTTAACAAAGAAGGATGACATGTTGGACAACCAAATAGTTATGTAATATCAAATACACACTATTTACATTGTTCAGTCTGTTTTCTTCATCTTTATTGCTATATTCACAATGTTTCAGCCGTTTTACACTCCAGCCTTCTTCAGATGATATTTGTTCAAATTTCTCACTGGATTCTTTATTTAGTACATGAGGATAGATTGTTCTAATTCCACATGCCATGACTTTTTAGTTAATTCCCCTCCAAGTTTTTGTTCTCTCTGCTAGCTAGGTATTGAACACACAACTCTTTGGGTCAAGTCACTTTTAGATCAATCAACCAATGCTTTTATCCACTGAGCCATTCCAATAAATATCACCTGAAGAAGGCCGGAGCGTACAACAGACGAAACATTGTGAATATAGCAATAAAGACGAGGACAACAGTCAATACAGTAGTGTAAATTGTTACAATACCCCATTTCAGAAATATAGACACATCAAATACTCAGTTTTTTATAGTTTTTGTTTGAGGATCATTGCTCCATTAAAGTCTTAAAAAGAGTTTACAATCAGTTGTCCATTTTAATGAGAATTCAATGAGTGATTAATAAAAATGCTCTTCTACTGTGTGGTATCCTTAATAATCAAGACAGAATTATATTATAAACATTTGAGAGTACACAAAGTTTTGTTCAAATGTAATTATTGTTGGTTCAATGGTACCAAGTAATAATATTCAATTCATGACTGCTACATGTGAGTTACATTGAAATCAAGGATGTGTGATAGAATTCTTGGCACTAAAAGGTTGTGTGCCAATCAAAATTCATAGATGTCTAAATGAAAATCAATGAAACCTTGCAAGCACTTAAACAGTGCATCTACAAAATAAGACACTGTGATAATGCATAACAGCATTGCAGTGCACAAAACAATGCAAATGCTGAGAAAACTGAAATTCACAGCTGTTATAGACACTCTCTACACACCCAAATTTGAAACCATTAGACTTCTGGTTATTCCTAAAATTTAAAAAAGGCATTGATAGGTCAACATTAAACAAAGAGAAAGAATGAAAAGTGGATAGAACTTTTGGAAAAACACGTTGCATTATTTGCTGACAATGTGGGAAATAAAAACTTTGAAGAGAAATCAATTGACTTCATTTTAATACCAGTTTCGTCTATCTGGCGTACGTTCATTTACCAAGATACTGGAGTTATTCCCCTTGTTTTAACTGCGGAGGGAAAAACAATAAGATTATGAATCTAAATTTTTCAAATTTAGATATTAATTATACACAGATATCAATGTAGACTTGTTTTTTGTTCATTTTTTTTTTTTTTTTGCGCACGCGCGGGAAGGAGGGGGGTATTGTTTCAGTGAACAATTTCTATTCAGTTGCAGTTTTAAGTTCTCTCTTGTGCCTGTCATCTTTTGAGGCCAACAAATTATTGAATCATTCCATCCTAGTAACAATGGTTAAAAAAAAAAAAAAATCTTCAGTGTGAGAAAATGAAGGCAAAAACCATTTAAACCTACGTGTATACATTTTAGTCAAACTCTGAAATGGTTCAAATGATTCTGATGCAATTTAACTCATCTGTATTTGATTCCAAATTTGGTACAGTGGAAAATCGTTTTGTTAAGGGCTTATATTGATATCTGTTGGTGGCAATTATAAGTGAAAAGTCATAAATTCTATATTTACATAGACACAATCCACAAACGCTTAATAAAATCATTCATTAACTTACACATAAATCTGTTGTTTTTTTTTGGGGGGGGGAGGGGCTACCATGCTTCATATTCTAAATAGTTTAAATTAAATTTCAAGTGTGTCAATATTGAAAAACAATGTATTACTGCACTAGCCCTGGCTTGATGTTTAGTTACATGATATTACAAAATGGTGATTTGAAATAATTGGAACCGTGAAAACTCCCCAAGGGATGTTTTAAATAATTAGGAGGGAAATGGAAAAAGAAACAGAAACAGAAAATTGGAATTATATCAGATATATAAAATGCAATTGCTGAAGGAATCTGAGAGAGTTGAACTCTGAACAAGTATTAGCGAAAAGTAATTGACTTTGGAATTTCTCAAAGTTGGTCTGATAAATATTTGCTTTGGTTTTCAAGCTGAAATCTGATCCAAAAGGGGCAAATTCTATAATACTATAATGTTGAAGTCATAAGGTAATTCTCATTAAATGTTGGAGAAACATTGTTTTGCTGGAGCCATGTGTTTTTAACTGGACATCAGACACTGGGATAATCCAGATGAAGGTGGAAGTTTTTACATACATCACTGTCAAAAATGGGAAAAGGAGTGTCCAAGAGAGTCACTTATATAAAGCAGGGAAACATCTGACTTCAGGATTCACTGGAAAGATCCCAAATGGTATGCTAAAAAATTCTCCACTGCTCGAAGCAGATGCACACACAGGTACAAGGGAACATCAATGTTGCAGACCAGTGTGAAATTGGGATGGCATTTACTACTACATTTTTCCTAACTGCCAGGAGAATTGATGCAAATCAGAAAACAACCCCTCCCCCGCCTCAGAATATCTCAAATCTCCATTTTGTTACCTAGATGCATAGCCAATGCATGTGCTTAATATTACCATCAATAAACTGTTAGAATTTCTAAATATGGGCGTCCGTGAAATCTCCCACCTAGCTTCAATATTAAAGGACCAGCCTTGAGAATCATGCGAGAAACAAGTCACAATGTTCTTCAAAGGAATTTAATAACCCCACCCCACCTTCTGCAGGGGAGACAAAAAAAAAAACATTAAGTGGCCGCTGTCAAAAAACGGACTCATTTTAGGAAACATGTGACAGACTGGAACTGTTGACAGAGACACATGTCCAGAGAGGTCACAGTCAATTCAGCAAACAGGTTTCAGGTCTGTGCGGAGTAAACCGTTTATATTACTACTTACTACCAGTTTGATAGCAAAGTAAAAGAAATCAGCATTAGACACAGGTAAAAGTACTGAATATCTTATGAAATATTTAATAAACAAAAATAAACAGTTTATCTAGTTATTTATAAAGTACTGTTATTCAATTTTGTCAAAATTATTTGTTCAAAAACTTTACAAAAAAAACAACTTATTCTAAACATTATTTCAAAATCAGATTAACTTGGAATAACAAGATAGACTAAAAATAAAAATCTTAAACAGAATCTTTGTTAGAATGGCTTTCAGAAGCTCGAGGATTAAAACAAAACTGAAACATTAATGTAAATACAAAATTAATAAAAATTTAAATAATTAAATGAGCATTAATTGTTAAATATCTGTTTACATGCAAATCTATTTTGGATAACTAATTATAACAAAATTTAAATCTCAGCACAGAAACTATCAATTTTTTTTTATTCCTAATATATTGATTTTTATTAAAAAATCTGAATCTTTATAGGTGATTATGAATTTTCTCTAACTGCTAAAAATGTATATTTTATAATTAAAAAAAAAAAAAATTACAATAAATAAAACAAATTTTAATATGTATTTTTATGGAATATCAGAAAATTCATAAAAAATAATCTAGCATAACTTAAGAAAACAAACATGTTCATTTGAAAAAAAAATTTATTTGCATGCACTCATATTTCACAGATACCATTTGAAGAACAAACATTACCAACCCAAATGGCACCTATCTAAAAATGCTAAAATCTATAGCATTTCTTCAAGCTTACTAAGTAACCTGAAGAAAGATCTTGGATATCAGCAATTCATCTAAGACACAAAAGCATGCATTTTTTCTGCTATAGTATCTTACTATAATAATAGATATTTTTTTTTATGTATAAATTTCAAGAAAGTTTTGTCTATTTCAAGTTTCTAAACAGGCAAATCCCAGAAAAAAAATAAAATAAAATTAAAAGCATTAATATTAAATTCAAATTCACTTATGAATTTGTACATTTTTTCTTCCTTGTTTTATAGTTAACAAAAGACATTTTGAACATATAAGTTTCAAATTACATCATTCAGTTAATAGTGAGAAAATGTATTTTCTAACAGCACTAGAAAAACGTTTTTCAAGAATAAGAACATTTAAGGCATAATCTTAAATTTAACAGTAAAAACAATACTTAAAACATGATATACTTAAATAGGTTTCTATTATTCAGTATACCTCAGTGTGTGATAACATGTTTAAGCAATCATGTATGTTTCAATACATGACTGACAACACATTTTTTTCCCCCACAGTAGGTTGCCATTTCTTTCAACGGTAGACCAGTTGCCATCCAACCTTGTCTGTCCTGTTATTTACCCATAGCTAGGGGGGAGAATATCTGGATTCATATCTTTCCCAAGGGTATTAGCACATAAGTGAATGTAATGGATTCAACTGGAAATCGAACTTGGCTCTCTGATTCCTCATTCGAAGATGCTATCCATTACTCTACCATGACTTCTCCAGTATATCTAGTTTAAAACTAACTAGTTTTTTATTTTTCATTAAACATTATTGTAAGAATTACATGATTAAGATACAAAGCAAATTACAAGCATTTAGTCCATTTATTTCTATTAGTCTTTCACATTATGAACTAGTAGTAAATAAAATCAAAGCAGAGATAAAAATCCAAATTAAACTTCCTAAAATACTAAAGAGGAGTGAATGGTGAATAGATATAAAAAGTAGGTCTACTGTCAATTTCTTTTTAAAGATTTTACACTGAAATATAAATCTTTAATACCAGCAAATAAATTACTTCTTAATGAG